GATCTGCAAAGAAACAAAAGCTCCCAATACGACTTTGCGTCCTCCAATGGGCCAGCAGAGCATCTCAGTTAGACCTTTTCAAAAACTTTACGTAGATATTTTAGGTCCTTATCCAAGGAGTAAGAAGGGTAACATCGGTTTATTAATCGTATTAGATCACTTCTCCCGGTATCATTGGTTGTGCCCTTTAAGAAAATTTACAACGAGTCTGATCAATGAGTTCTTAAGCCAGAGAATCTTTCCAGAATTTGGAGTTCCCGAGGTAATTGTGAGCGACAACGGCGTGCAATTCAAAGCAAATGAATTTGAAGCCTTGTTAAGTAAACTAGGAATTCGACACGTATATACTGCTTTGTATTCCCCGCAAAGTAATGCGGCAGAGCGTGTAAATCGTTCATTACTGTCGGCTATACGATCGTATATCAGCAAGGACCAAACCGAATGGGATTTACATTTACCCAGTATCTCTTCTGCTTTAAGATCAGCCTTACATCAGTCGATAGGGTGCTCCCCTTATAAAGCCTTATTCGGGATGAATATGATTAATCACGGGGATGACTATAAATTACTAAAGGAAATGTCGATATTGGAAGAGTCACCTAGGTTAGAGCGCGAGGATCACCTGCAGTTAATAAGACAAGAAATAAAAAAAGCCAGTCGCAAGGCGTATGAAAAAAACGTTAAGCAGTATAACTTGCGGTCAAAACCCGTATCATACCGAGTAGGACAAGAGGTCTTTAAAAGAAATTTTCATTTAAGTCAATTCAGCAACAATTTCAATAAAAAGTTGGCACCCCAGTTCTCCAAGTGTAGGGTCAAACAAAAGCGAGGGAATGCTTTCTATTTACTGGAAACTCTACAGGGCAAAGAAATCGGAACATATCATGCTAAAGACATACGTAGCTAATTCCAGCTAATCATTCCTCGCCAGGTTCGTCAGATTATCTGGTGGGTGTAATGTACCAGCCTTAAGATCTTTAAACGACATTTTTGAAAAGTAACTGATAATAAAGATAGCACTCGTTACTTATCCGAGTTAATTACCGGAGAAGGTAACCCCAGGTAATCACAAGCAAAATTGCCTAAATAAAGACGGAAAGTGATCCAAAGCGAAACGTCAAAATTTAGATTTTTGTCGGATGTTTAAGCTCCCAGCTTTTGAATTCCGATCTACTCAGTCTTTCTGTTTCGAGAACTCTAAGAGTACGGTCGGCTTCAAAAAGTTAGTCCAACTTCAATTCTGGCCACACCACGTGCAGTCGAAATTCCCAGAAATCTTTTTATCAGTGATTATTAAGGCTAAAACACAATAAAATAACCAACTAGTCAAGCTCCTAAATCAGAAAACAGAAAGAAACAACAAATAAATTGAAGGAAAGCAAACTGAACGTAAGTTAAAAGAAAAGGAGGTAGCCAACGTGAAATTAACATTTAGTTCTCTATCAGAAGATCAGGCTATAAACATCTAGCCAGCAGCAGGTTGTCGGTGTGGTTCGGAACCAAGCTCTTCACAATCCAGGCTAGGATAGTCGGCGGAAAAATCATTCGTCAACAGGGAATAGGATCCCTTCAGTTGGAAGGCGGAGGGTCGGCCAACTGCGGCCACAAAAGTCCACAAAGATTCATCGACGACTTCCCAACGGCAACCCCAGACACCTACACCCCAATTGCGGCCGCCACGTGCCAACACCCCCCGACAGGGCAGCTGCTCCTAGATTAGAGAGAGAGAGTTAGCCAGTATCACTTGGAAATAACCCCAAAACAAAACATTAAAATCTATCTGGAAATTATGTAAATCAAAGTGCAATTGATCGTGTTACGCTATTTGAAATACTTACGCACCCAAGTTGGTACAAGCGTTGCATAACTCTCTTCTTTCACCTGTAAATGTCTGCACGAGAATCAGCACTAAGTCTTGGGTATCGACGGCGGTTGCGAAGAAATAATTAAAACTTGTCTCTCTAAGGAATTTCCACTAGTTAACCCCTGGAACCATGGAGCGCTTCATCGGAATTTTCAGAGGGTAAGTGATCGCATGCTACTCTAGTTTTGATTGTTTCGGGCAAGCCGCCGATTGGAAAAAAAATTTTACCCCGAAAGCGAATGGGTGAGCTAAAACCCTCCAAAACGAATAACCGGCTGCCGTCCCAAAATACAAAAACCTTCGGTGATGATCTGGTTTGCCTAAACAGAGGTCCGGCCGCGATAAGCTTTCCAGACCGTTTTGTTTTGATTGCGTTATTCGTCTTGGAGAATTTTGGCTGCCCTCAAATATGAATTAAAGGGAACTCATTGCGTGTAATTATGGTTTGCCTAAGTAAATCAAAAAAATAAAAAGAAAAGAAAAACAAATATGTAAACAGACAAGCCCGGTGAAGAATACGAAAGAAATGAATTAATAGATGTGACCCATACAAAGAAACCAATCAATGGCACTTAAAACTAAGAAAACCTATGCCTAGAATAAAAATTTAAAAGACCAGTTTTGTTAGATAATATAACTTGAATTGAAATCATGAAGTTAAGTAAATGAAATCTTAAATAATGTATGTTGACTACACCCATACAACATTTGTTTGTAAAACTTAATTATATATATAACATGATGCAAGGCTAAATCCCCTTTTAATTTCTTTTCCGAGGACATGGGGCTCTAAAATAAAATATTAATTAACTATACATTTTGGGGTTCTTATTTAACACCTTAACAGAAAGAACCAAGGTTGGGAGGGTATAGAAGGGTAGGACGGCCAACATCTCAGTCCCATCCGCTTTTATCTATTCAACTTATGTGCTGCATACCGATTTAGTTCATCCGCCATTCATTGTTCAGTTCCATTATTAATTTGAGGTTTTAGTGCGGAATTTCGATTAGTTAGTTTCTGGAGGGATCTTTAAATATTTCGACGTAACCGCGATCTACAGCAGCCGCAACAACCCACCCAATTCCTCCCGCTGAAGCTAGGGTATCAAAAGGTCCCAAATCGCGAGTTAGCTGTGGATTCATGGGCCAGTAGGTTATTTCCAGAAGGTGAGACAGAAAAGACTTTTCCTACAAGGCGTGCGTTACAAAAAACCCTTTCGTTTGGCGATAATAGCTAAAAACCAGTCAGATCTAAAACTCATGTAGCTTCTAAGCGACTAAAGCTATGCCCATGTGCTAAATGTCGTTAAAATGCTAGTAACGATGTCTTAATCGAAATATTCTAAAAGCGATTGATTGTCAAAAACTAATTTCATAAATAAATGGCTATATTTTCATAATATAGTGGAACCATAGCATATTTTATTTGTTTTGTTGAAGAAATTTCCCTGAAAACTGAAACAATTTACTTTTTTCATTTTTAGCTACTTTTAAAGGCATTTTTATACCCGTTACTCGTAGAGTAAAAGGGTATACTAGATTCGTCGGAAAGTATGTAACAGGCAGAAGGAAGCGTTTCCGACCCCATAAAGTATATATATTCTTGATCAGGATCACTAGCCGAGTCGATCTAGCCATGTCCGTCTGTCCGTCTGTCCGTCTGTCCGTCTGTCCGTCTGTCCGGATGAACGCTGAGATCTCGGAAACTATGGGAGCTAGGCTATTGAGATTTGGCGTGCAGATTCCTGAGCTTCCTACGCAGCGCAAGTTTGTTTCAGTAGACTGCCACGCCCACTCTAACGCCCACAAACCGCCCAAAACTGTGGCTCCTACAGTTTTGATGCTAGATAGAAAATTTTAACTGAAATGTAATGTTCTCATCAATACCTATCGATTGACCCAAAAAAAAAGTTTGCCACGCCCACTCTAACGCCCACAAACCGCAAAACCCTGTGACGCCCACAATTTTCATGCTAGATAAAAAATTTTAACTGAAATGTATTGGTCTCGTCAATACCTATCGATTGATCCCAAAAAAAATTTGCCACGCCCACTCTAACGCCCATAACGCTTAAATCTGTATACCGCCGGTAGGTGGCGCATTTTAATCTCGCTTTGCTGCTTGCATATCTCCATTTAGCTGAGTAACGGGTATCTGATAGTCGAGGTACTCGACTATAGCGTTCTCCCTTGTTATGTTTAGTTATTTCAAAAGGAAAACATATGATTTATATGATATGCTTGCATTTTTTCTACCAAATCTCTTTATGGCAATCTAATAAAAAGATCAAAATCCAAAGAGGGCGAAAAAATGTTCAATTAACTGTTAATAAAACAACATGGAAAAATCGTACGTTCGCGACCGGTACTTAATTCAATAAAAAAACAAATGGGAACAGACTCGATATAAAGCTATATGAATCCATTTTAAAAGTAAAGTTATTGCTTTCGAATATTCCGTCCCAATTCCCAATTTTTGCATTTTACTATATTAAGACTTCCATTTTGCGTACGTTCGCGACCTCATGTTTTTTTGCCAATATTATGAAAATGATAGCGCAATAAACCCCATCATTTACACTAAGCAAAAAGATAACAAAATGCTATCGAATAGCAAAAAATTTATTTGTTTATTTTTTTTTAATTGCACTAAGTGCGTACGAACGTTCGCGACCCCTGGAAATGCCCATATGTATAGCCGTCCAGATTTTTCTCATTCGGCACGCTTCATCAAAATCGTACAGCTAACTCCCTCCACATGCATATTGCGGCGTGCCGAATGAGAATAATTTAGAAAGTATATTTATTTAGTTGATATTAGAAATTTTGTATGTTAAAGGTGCGATCGTCATTGGAATTTTTACCTCGTTAGAAGGTGTATTTGTTATAAAATATTTAATTTTTCTAGTTCTTTTTTTCTGTGTAAAGTGTTTTATCTTCAGGAGAATTGTTGTAAAAATCTTTAAAAATAATATCAATCTTTCAGACAAATATGATGTTTCAAAACAATCGAAAATGTATACTGATAATTCCGTTAGCGCATACGTCCTTACTAAGTTTAAAAAAATCCCTTACTGAAGTAATTTAAAAAATGTATTAAACCTATAAATGTTTATGCCAAGAATTTTACAATTTCTCTCACAAAACATTCTGATAAATGAACACGGAATTTGGAATAAAAATTATGAGCATAATCCTAAATTACACAGCCATTTCGAGAACCGTACTTGATCCGTAGCTCCTTAGAGATTTTTCTATTGATAAGGCCATTAGTGCGGCGGGTGGATTGTTGGAAGATTGATTTGCTTTTAGCGGGTTGCTTGATGCCCGGCTTGTGGACCAGAAAGGCATTATCCAGGATGTGAAACTCATAGTCCAGTACGCACATTGCGTACGCCTGTGTCATTTTGTCCCGCTGACCTTCCCAGGTCAATCGCTCGTCGTACGGTGGATCCTCGACGGTGCCTATGAAGATCGGCTCCCACATGTTGTCAGGTTGCGAGCGATGACCCACATTGAAGACGTTGAGACCCTCGGTGACCACGGTGGCATTTATCCATTCCTCCAGCTTGGGTCCCCGATGGCAAACGGCGCAAATTTCCATATGAAATGGTACGGCTTCTCCCGATTTCAACAGTTTTTGCAACTCCGGCTTGGAGCTCGGCACGGAAACGTTGGCCATCACCTCGAAAATACGCAGCACATGTACCACCGGCGAAGTGGGTTGCTGTCCTGGCCTTCCAATAACCTGTAGATAAGGTTATACCAACAAAATTTAAAAAAAAATATATTTTTTTATTTTATATGCCAACAAAAGGTGCTTAAAATCTGATCTTAGTTTCAATTTTGCATATTTTTTCTTCAGCTAAAATTATGAATGGTAATTAAAGACGACCATATAAAAGACACATGTAAATATTTTACTAAAAAGCGTACACAAATTGATCGAACCAACTACCCCTACAATAAGTTGTGAGTGAACATGGGATTTGAAAGTACGGTTTTCAGAAAAGTGCCATTAATGGTCCTAGTCTTTCCCAACCAACAACATTTTTTAACCGTCTAACTAAAACAAAATTGTTACATGTTTTTGTTTGGTTAATTTAATTTATTGAATGTGGTCTCTGGATAAATGTGTAACCGTTTGAACTCTTGGTAAAAAATAAAATTTCCCTTTTGATAGTCGGATAGTTCTCCGGCTAGCGATAGTCTCGTGTGCAAGGTTTATGGCGTTTAGCTCGATCGAAATTTATAAAAATAGAAGCACACTGGCAACCAGTACATAACTAGAAGCTCAATAACAAATCTTACAAGACGGCCAACGAAATTTAGATAGTCCGGCACCAATCCGGGCGTGGGATAGAGTTCGATGTCCGAGGCCAGGACGTAATGGGTCAGCGAAGCTTTGCGCGCGATGTTGCGACCCATATTCACCGGATAATCGAGTCCCTGCTGAGTCCTGTACAAGTCCCTTCTAGCCACATTCTCGTAGGGCGGTGGACCGCTGCAGTTGGCTTTCATGTTAAGAGCCTTTTTGGGTGAGGGCACCACCTGCGGCAGATGCTCCACGTCGAAGTACAGATGGAAGCTGGACAGCTCGCGAACCAAGTCCTTGCCGGGATGGCACTGCAGCAGGTACAGAATGCTCTCCAGAGAGCGTTCAAAATCCGTGCCCGGGGCGTAAATGGCCAGGCTCAGGGGCGACCGCCAACGTTCCAGGAGGGGGACCACATTATCCAGATAAGTATAGTCCGCATGGCTGGTGTACGTCACGTTTTCATAGCACGAAAGCTGCCCGTGACCCGCCATTACGTAGTTCTCCAGCACCCAGTAGTCGCGATAGATCGCCTTCCTCGATTCGTAAGTCTTATCCTCGCAGTTCACAAACTTTTCCAGCTTCACCGAGGTGGTGTTGTCCAGCGAATTGACTCCAAGGACAAAAGCCAGACTCGCAATTGCGATCAGAAAACTAGAGAGTCGAGCCATGTTGTACGTCAGCGCCTTACGATTTGTAAATTTGGGGTTTACATAAACTGTCATCGAGCATGAAGATTGATGCTCTGTTAACTAGATTGGAATTTTTTTATAAAAAAAAACTTAAGGCCTATGTAGAGAATAAAATTCTAAAATAATAATAATTAAAAGGTTTAAGATGCGAAGTATATTTGCATGAAAACTTTAATTTGGCAAATTTAACTTCAATGAACCTATGGCTGCTAATGATAGGGTCACCAGATTGGCAAGAATTAATATCCTGAATAAGGTAGATATAAAAAAAACACAGGTCAACATTTTTTGAAAAACTTTTTGTTTTTGTAATTGCGTAATCTCTTCCAATAATTCCCATAAGAGCTAAAGGATATAGATTGCCGATTGGGAAAGTTTTAAACTAAGCTCGCAAGTAATTTGTGCGTTACATAAAAAAATACCAAAATTTAAAGCGCAATTTAATTAGCTGGTGTTACTCAGCTATTTCAGAGATTTTAGCAACAAGCTTGAGGCTGTTGTCACCTTATTTCATTTAAAAGCCTTGGCAACTCTATAAAATTTAAGTATAAGCTGAAAGTATATTTGTAAATATTTTTTACTTGTTAATAGTTTTAGACCTAAAATATTACACATTTTAACTTTCGAAAAATTTGAAAACTAGTCTCATAAAGTCATAAAATTCAATCGGATCCATTTAACAACAATTCAACGGTTTGGAAATGCCAAGATTGTAAAAATGCATGCAAACTTTGAACTAGTAATTAACAAACAAAATGTATCGAATATTTAAGATATTTCATTTAAGAGGCAAGGATCTAAGATGTATAAGGCCCACTCTAGGCATGTTTCATGGGACGGTAAGAGACTTAAAACTGATACTGTTTCTTCGAGCAACCACCAACAAACTTTCATATTTTGATACACCCCTTTAACTTTAAGAAGGCTTAAAGAACCATTTAAAACACAATTAAGCTAACCTTTCCCTAAAGACTTCTTCATAACCAATTGAAACAAAAGCCCAACAAAAAGTAATCTCTCTCAAATGGGGTTTATTATTGATTAGCAGACATTTTAATATGCAGCCTGCGCAAATAAACAATTAATACGGAAAATTAATGTACATTGTTCATTGTTATTCATTGTAAAAGGTAAATCCCCAAACCCAGTCGATGGACCAGCCAACCCAACCTTCCATTTCACAGAAGGCGTGGACAACAAATTTTAATTATGCGCCAGTTTTGGCTTCTATTTGGGCGCGTGATGGGGGTGCTGTGTATATAGATTATGTATTTGTATGTATATTGAAATATTAGTAATTACGAGTTGAAAATTCATGAAAATACAATTTGCGATTATTGTTATTAGTGTCAGGCAACAGGCAGGGTGCCTCCGATGGGATTTCCCCCTGAAACTTTTGCCAATGGCTGGCAAAGTTCTCCGTGTGCGGCGGGCAGACGAAGGGGCCAAAGGGGGGCGAGGGACAAAGGACGCAGGACGGCGACAGCAGCTGAAAAATTTATAAATTCAATAGCACCTAATTAAAATTAAATCTGAAAGCTTTCTGTATCGACGATGGAGCACGGCTTAGGCAGCCACCGCTGGAAAAGCAACAGCCACAGGATACAACACAACGGACCAGACCAGAACTGTGCAGAGCAGAAGGAGAGTTGGCCAAGGATACACGGCAGGATATGCACGGTAAATGCTGTTGCCGGAAATGAACACGTGCTGATGTGTGCCAGCAGTACACTTGGCAAAATAACTAAGCCTAGTAAAATACAATGGTACCATATAAAATATAATACTGTAATATGATATGTGTATATATATGTAGTTATATATATCCGTCACCCTTCCATCTTCCCTTCTCTCATCCCCCTCTAAAGCAAATATTAAAAAACTTAAGGATTTCATTAAAATAGCTTACCTTTAAATTCTGATCTACGGTGCTAAGCAATTTTATAGACCTGGCAAGACAAATTTGCGTTCTTATTTGATTTTTTAATTTTTATTTGTTGTAAATAATAATCTTAGCTATGTTAAATCTACAAACAAGGACGGAAGGTAGCTTCGGCAAGCCGAAGTTGATATACCCATGTATTCCCAACCATCATCAACTAAAATTATTCGTATAAGATCCGTATTCTCGAAATATTTTTTAGCTCCCTTTTTTTTCTTTAAAAAATGTTGTTGTTGATAACATGTTAACGAATTCAAAGCTTTAATTTTTTCATATTCTTTCTGAGTAATTCTTGGATCGTTCATTTGACAGCTATTTTCGCCCGATTAAAAGCAATACTCAATCCTGAATTCGTAGAAAAGAGTAGTTTTGGGTTTCTTGCTGCAAATCCGAGGGTTAAATAAAGTGTACCTATTAACTACGATTGGCTTAAAACTGCGGCAGAATTTTGACTTTTTCTAAAAATATTTTCAATCTTAAAGATGCCCCGATAGTTGTTTGGATCCATATTTCCCAATACTAATACCAATTTATTTTGCAGAATTTAATTTGGATTAAGCTGGGCTTTTTGTCTAAAGTCTAACTCTCTTTTTTTATAGTATTACCTAGATTGCACAAGTCGTTTAAAAATGGCCAAAACTAAAAGCTACAAATCTGAAAGGTTTTTTTCTGTAAGTTACGACACCAAACTTAAAAATCACGCCACAACTTTTATGAAAAACGTTATCAAATTACCAAATTTTCGAATGTAATGCACTTTACCAAAAGAAGCCGAGCTACGACAAACATAGGGACTGCTAACTGATGAAGTCAAAGGTTTAAAGTACCGGCTTAGTTATATTCTGGGTTATTAAGCCGTAAAAAGTGCTTAAAAATAAAACATTAGGTATTTTAATTGTACTTTTAAGCTGTAATGTCATGGAAAGTTTTTTTAAGTCTGGGTTACGAATCTGTTGGAACAATCCTTTAAGACCTTGTAGCATTTAGCCTTGGGCAAAAAAATATTTTTCGACCTGTGCTACTAACTAAGTCCTGCAATTAATATTTTCCTATACCTAAATTGGAAAAAAAACATAGGGCGAACTTCAACTAGTAGAATACGAGACAAAAATATATTTATTAGGTTGAACAATTAAATATCAATATATGTAGATTCTTTAAACCTTTATTAAAAAATTGTTCAGGTTACAACAAGCGTGATTAAAACTTTGTTCAGTTTCATAATAGAAGGTAAATGTGATATTGTTAGCTTAAAACATCATACAATCAGTTCAATTTTTACATACGATGTTTATTTTTGGCAGTGTTCGTGCGCGGCATGGAAAACTTTACCAACTGAAACGTTCTGTGTGCTTATTTATGAGCCGGCGTTTGTTTGCCCAGCCAGCTCGACGCCGCTGTGAGCTTTTCTCTGTGGGTGGCTGTGGGCTATATTAATTATTGAAAGATTTGATATCGGCTTAAAGTTACGTTCGCCGTCTGTTGCTCTTATTGTTCCGGCTGGCTGCGCCTGGTTGGCCTCCTACTGCCACCCGGCCCTCCCTGGAAACTTAACTCACTTGTCGCATGCATCATCATCAAGGCAGTGCCAAATCTAATTTACCTTGTCTACCCTTGCCTCTCGACTCTATTCCTTTCCCCGATCAACTTTTACCGAGCTGGCTGCACTTAGTCCTTCATCCAGGCGCCTGGAAATGAACCAATAAATCAGTTTATAATAGCAAAAAGAAAAAGGGCAGAACTACATCGAAGTTAGGTGCAACTTTTGATGCAGGGCGGATCAATGGCCCCGAGAGAAAGTTGAAAGTGTTTTTTCCCGAAGAAATTATATTTACCTCTGCGTTGGACAGAAATATGTCAGGTGAAAGGAAGAAGAAGGAGAAAGAATCAGCTGGATAGATGGATATTGAAGAGTTTCATGAAGCAAAGCCGGCTGAACAGGGAAATAGTTGGTAATCGAAATATGAACTCGTTTCCAGGGCCTATAATAATTTATTTTTATACCTGATTGCTGACGAAGTATCAAACTAATCTAACTGTGAGAAATGATAAGGGAACAATTGATGAAAACGAAGATGAAGTATATTTATTTTCTTTAAGAGTTTCAAAGAATATAGTTTTACAAAGAATGATGACTATTTATTTAAGATATTGCTGACTGTGATTATTCCGCTCTGCCATATAGTACCTTTTTAGAATAGATCTGAATCCTCTTGCCAAAATACAGAAGCTACGGTTTCATTTAACTTAAACCAATTGAATGTTTACCCTCTTCCAAAAAATAAATACGAGACATTTGTTTCCTAAAAGTCTGTTAAATTACCGGTTAAGTGACACGCCTTAAATTGAATTGAAGTCCAGATATTTCCACTAGCTTATATAACAATGGATAATTTAACTTAGATTGAAGTTTATTCACTTGTTCACATTTTCCCGATTGATTTTCTCCCCAAAAACAGTTGTCGCTTTAATTGTCTTTTCTGTGGACAGAGTTCAATTTGCTGGATGAAGTGTTTTCTGTTGACGAGCCAGGTTCATAATTTAATTTCCGTGTTAGCATTTATCATTCCGAAAGAGCCGATTGTTTTTGTCTTGAGCCGATTCACTGCTTATCTTTGAGGCCGGATAACAAAGACTCGCAAACCGACCGGAAGCTTGGCATAAGAAGCTTTCCCAGTGCACTCACGAATTTTGTGTTTTATTTAAGGTCGAGCAGCATCCATCTCTGACATTTGGCAGATGACATTTAATGTGGCCCTCGGTCCGCCTGTCGACACCAGCCAACATCAACTCTCATCCAGGACAATGCAAATGAGGCGGAAGGCGTTGCAGGCGGATGCAAGGGGCGTGGTCCGGTCGAGAGTCGGAGGCACGCTGCATATTTTAACATTTCCGGTTTGATTTCACATTCCAAACAAAATGGCCGGCAGACGTGCTTCCGCCATCAGCTGCACGCACCGCACCTGAACCAGAACCAAAACCTGGACCAAAAATCCGGACTCGGGTCTGGTCAGATCCATATTCACATGGCTGACTGGAGCACTAACAGAAAAGTTTGGGAAGGGGCAAAAATTAATATGCTTAATATATATTTT